GCTCTCTTGCTCTCTTGCTCTCTCTCGCTCTCTCTCCACATTCTGTTTTGAAGACAATTACATCATCAATTATTATCCAATAAGTTTTTAATGTTATCACGCACGAGTTACGGCCGCTACCGCAATCAACTTTACCGCGTACAACCCAACGCCTGCTGTTCGGGTTAATTACCTTATGAAATCCTGTGTTTTCATTTGGTAATTGCGCAAGGATTCCCAAGTAACACAGTCTCTCGGTGGAGCAGCCCCGTGCGGGCCGGTGCGGGAGAGAGGGAGGCTTGAATGATGGATGTTGGCTTGATGACAAGATGTGTCGCGCTGCGCTTCCCGGCCGCGAGGCGCCCGGCGCCCGCCCCTCAGCGGGAGGGTTAGTTTGTGCTGCGTCAAGGAGCGCACAGTCCTGATGGCAGCTGTACCTGGAGGAGACAGGGGGAGGGGCTGGGGGAGGGGGCTGATTGGGCGCTAGGGGCCAATCATCGCTCGCTCGCTCGCTCTCTCTCTCTCTCTCTCTCTCTCTCTCTCTCTCTCTCTCTCTCTCTCTCTCTCACACACACACACACGATAATTGCTTCTCGATGGTACAGGCGATCCGCAAAGACGATGATGATAGGGGTAAACATCACCCTTCCCCCACCCCGCCCCACTCAGTTCACCTCTACATCTGTGTGCCGTCACTAACCGAGCGTACGAGCTAGGTGTTCAGAAGCATGCAGTGTAGCCGTCATCCCAACTCTTGCTGTCAAAGACTTACTCGCACTTTTTAGACAGTCCCCGAGACTGTCTCTACCAGAGGGCAAAAACCAGCCGCCACCGCTGCGCACAAGACCGTGCGAGGGGAGGGAACTGTCTATTTCTTAACCGCGTGGGCCAATTTTTATTTTTCTTAAAACAGGGTCATATGGTTGCTACCCTGAGACACTGGGGTGTGTATATACGTGTTCACCGTACTTGTGGTGGTCTGAACTGCTTCACCAGGCAGCACCGCCGGACCCCATGAGTCGACGATCATGCCGCGTATGCGTCGCCAGCGAGAGCTAGTGCGCCCGCAACGACGCTGGTTTCATAAATTTATGATACTCAGAGCGCCTTTGCTTATTGTGAGGAAATCTCGTGATTTTGTTTTTTCAGTGTCCCCAGATCAGGTTGTGCAAACCGAGCGCCTCGGGCGTCGTGCCGAGCACTGTGATCTGCGAGCAACGGGTGGAGATCACCCTCCACCCCCCCCCCCCCCCCCTGCTCAGACACTGTTCACAATGAGCTACATTTTGAATTTAGTGATTCTGCGTCCTTCGCTATAAAACGTTGCCGTTCTTTGTGTGCTTGCAGATGTCAACCGCAGCGGCACCATCGAGAAGAAAGACTTCGAAATCGCCGTTGAGGTGAGTAGTGCGCTAAAAACGTTGTATGCGTTCCCTTTTCTTCTCTTCAGGTCCAAATTAAGCGTAGAACGAACAGAATAGTTACAGTACTTTATTACACTCTACCGGCGTTACCTTGACATTTGCGCGCTCCGTGCCACGTTTCCAGCGCATCTGCGAGGTGCGCAACTGGCCGTCGGGGACCCCGGAGGCGGCCAGGACCAAGGACATCCTGATGAGCGTGTGGGAGGGGCTGCGGACCAGGGCGGACAGCAACCAGGACGGCCAGGTCAGCGAGTGTCAAGCATGCATTTCGCTTTATTTTTAA